CCCTTGGGCAGTGGTGAGCAGAGAACTATTAGTAGGTGTCTCATGGTGGAATTTTTCAAGAGATCTATTGGTGGAGGAGAGGAAAAGAGTAGAAATTAAAGGAAAATAGAAGAGCTTTTTGTGGCAATCCAGTTTAGGGTCCAGAGAGAATGCTGGGCCATTGCATTTCTGTGTGTCAAGTAAGATACTGGAATTTTTTTGTTGTTGTTGCAATATGGAGGGTATCCTACTACAGTGTGGAGTGTGGTGCACCCCTAAGTTTTAACACACAGCGCAGTGCTGGGTAAAATTAAATTGAATGCCAATACCAGTTCTCCTTCAGGTAAGAAAACAAAATCCTGGTACCTGAATGGAAAGCTCTGCCCTGGAGGAGCCTTTCAGCTCCTCTAATTCAACCCTTCACCTTCTAGACACACCCCTGAGCCCTGTGAAGGGAGGGGCTTTCTGAGGCCCTGAGATCTGCCTGGGCCCCAGGGTCTTCCAGTCTCTACAGTCTCTCCATTTTCCCCACGTTAGGCAGCCTGCTGGCTCCAGCAAGGTTCTGTCTGCAACCTAGGGTTTTACTCCCTTTGAACCTCTTTCCCAAAATGAATAGATCCAAGTAGGTCATCTCTAAGGTTGCTTCCATTTTATTTTTTTCTAAAAGATTTATTTATTTATGCATACAAGAGCTGGGGTACAGGTCAGAGATGGGGGGCGGTGAGAGGATTCACCAGAGACAAAGTGAGGAACAGAACAGGCAGATTGACTGAAATACACTGCTGAGGGGAGCAGCAGGCAAGTCAGGAGAGGTCTGCTGCACCATGTGAGTAGTTCCCTGGTCGGGGATTGAACTCGTGCTGTCGTGGCTGTGGATAGCTTCATAGGTTGCGTCTTAACCCCTTGTGCCACCAGGGAGGCCCAGGTTGCTTCCATTTTAAAAATTCTTTTGGTTATTCTTCTTCATTTAAAAGATGCAAGTTGCAGTTTACCACAATCCATGTTTATATTTGACCAGGTTTATAGCTTAATGCATCTAATTTGAAAAGATTCTTTGCAAAATAGCTACAGTTCCTAAACGGTGAAATTTTTAAAAAGCAGTCAAAATTGAAAGTAGGAATGTTATGCCAGTAGTACCATACACACAAAAACGATATTCCTTAAAAATTCCAACCAATTCAACTTCACACTTCCTTTTTTCTATTTAAGAGAAAATAACACAAGCTTGGAAAGCAGTAAATATGTAAAGAGAAAATTTGTCAACTGCTATTGGAAGATCTGACCTAGGTCACACATAAATCTCTCAGACAAGAGCTGCAGGGCAAGTCATAATTTCAGAGAGTAAAAGAGAAAATGAAAGATATGGCTGGTGTCTTCTCTAAGTTACATAGGTGGATTCATTTTCATTTTCTGATTGTGCTTTCTGAATATAATGTGAAAAGACTGGTAGCAAAGTCTGTCTTACCACCCTACATAAAAAGTGCCTCTAAGAAATAGATGCCTAATGGGAGGCTTCAAAGTTACTTTATTTCTCCAGAGTCATCAACTAAATAAATAGTTGGCATCCCACAAGCAGACTTTTGCAGTGGCAGTTTCCATTCATTTCAGGATCATTTTCCAAAGTCATAAGTCATAAGAGCTTTTCTAATTGCCAACTCTATGGTCCTTGCAAGGAAATATATAACTATTCACTGCAGCGATATCCTAAGACCTGGTAACTGTTACTGCAGCAATATCCTAAGACCTGATACTTATGCCTGCCTGTTAGGAACGCATTCTTTCCTGCTGAAACAGACATGGTTCTGTGTTACTTCTGAATGAGGCATAACTGTCCCCTGTTGGTGTGGCTTAAAGTCCTGTATCTAACAACTGGCAAAAGAAAAAAAGTTATGCCCAAAAGAGAGAAGAGATTCACCTAATTTGTATCTCAGAATGCTACTATGTCTAGAGAGTGGTTAGCAAAGCATATGACTGAAGCAGTTACTGTTCTGAGACAGAAAATTCAACACAAGTAAAATACACTAGCAGGAATGTGGACTTGTTGGACAGGTTAGTTACCAACAGCATTTCATATGTAGCAAGGTTCCAGCCACACATCAGCCCTAACAATATTCTTATGTTCCTCTAAATCCCCTCTCACAGCTGAGCATTTGGAAGGCAGTCACAAAGCTAACATTTTATATTGAGTACCCTTAGTACCACTTTTAATGTGCTATAACAGTAGGGGCTTCTCTTTTTCATGAACTGTGTGCAAAAACAGAGGCAGTGAGTAGAGGTTGACTTTGTTTGGATCTATTTTATGGTTGCTGTGCCTATACAGTAATGTAATCTTGAAAAAGGTAAACAACAAAGAGTTTAGCAGTGAAAAATATGCCTAATATAAATAGAGTCGAGTACATGGCAGTTCAGAATTTGAAAAATATGACTGGCATTAAATTTTCCGGTGGAATTAGCAGAGGAACAGAATAGAGCCTTTAAGGCAATATATTTGAGACAGAGAAAGGAGATAATACATCTAACTCTAGGGTCTATGTGGCATTCATATAAAGAAAAGCACAGTAGCTTTATTTAATTGAGAAAATGAATCAATTACAATGATGTTGCATCATCAAATTCGTGTGAAATAGAAGATATAAGTCACCACATTGTGTAACAATGTTAAAAAGTAATTGAGTATCTTAAGCATTTTGAATCAATTTCAGGTACTGGCACTGCTACCTTAATACAAAATTTATGAAGATGATTTCATATAATATGTTGCTGTTGAAACTGTGTAATAAAATCTGGTAGCAATGTCTTTCTTCAAAAATCTAGGCAAAACAATGTGGTTATAAGAAAATAAAAAATACCTTAGTGCTACTGCTTCTCCCCTTTTTTATAGTAAAGAGCAAGCAGTAAAGTGGTAGAATTTTAAGATGACTTAAAATTCATTTTTAACCTGCAGAATCCTGAGACGGTCTTAGAGACCATCTTAAAGATCTTGGGTCATGAAGAAATTTTCTCCCATCAGTTTGGTTCGCACAATGGTATGTTACTAGGAACAGCGTCCATTCCTGAATTCATTTTAGAACATCGCACTTACAATGTTGGCTACGTTTTCCTGAGAGAATGTTGTAATCCCCCTGACTGTTAGAAATTTGTGAGACAGTCTCTTGATGTCAGAAATGGATTTCTGAGTCTTTGTTCATTACAAGTAACTCTCCTGTTGAAGTAGATATTTTTTAATAACAGAAATATTAGCATGCACTTGAAAATAATAAAAGCAGACACCACAAAGGTATCTCACTCACAAGAGAAGGTAACTGGGCTTTTCAAGATTTTTTTAAAGGTGATATATCTTGTTACTAAAGTCCTAACCATTCCAGGGTGATAGTTAACAGCTCTTTCTTCCTTTTTAATGTAAATCTTTATGTGCAAAGCCTTGCCCAGGAGTATGCATTGACTAGTGGAAAGCAGCATTAATTCAGGTCAATGTTAAGTAGAACTTTGAATGGACTAACGAGCCAGTCATCTTGGGACAGAGGTTTCAGGGAGTGGTGATTGGGGAGGGGGAAGTGAAGAACCAAGAACAGCAATGAGTGTTAAGATTATACAATGTATCGTATAATATGGGAACTTGCTTTTCAAATACTCAAGCACTAGGCTGCTGATCAGCCATAAGGATGCAAAAGAAATACAAAATCATAGCTTCTGCCCTTGAGAAGCTTACAGTTTAGTTGAGAAGAACCCACATGCCAAAATTGACCCTTTACCAACTTTACTGTGCCAAGTACAAATATAAGCAAATCCAATTGTTTTTATATACTGCTGTGATTGTAGGCAGATATAATGCCGATGCTGGAGAGAAAGGTGCACTGGAGAAGCCCCAGCACAACCACAGCCTGTTCCAGCGATCTTGGGCCTGCCCCATCCTCTGAGACAGATAGTTTTCCCATCCAAGAATAGAGATGATCATCCCTACCAACCTCAGGGGTGGTTATGCAGATCAGATGAGAACCATTGTGTGAAAGAACTTTTAAAAGCATCATTAAAAACATATAAGGGCCTATTATTATTATCCCTGTATTTTACCATTTAGTTAGAGCTCAGTTAACCACCTGACCAGCTAGACAACTGACCCGCCAGTAGCCCTGTTTGGTTCCTGAATTTTTCATACTTAGGAAATTGAGTACCTGGGACCCAATTTGCATTGAGTTTGTAATAACTGCAGGCATGGGGGGGGGGAGTGCGAGAAGGGCATTGAAGTGTTTAATACTTTAATTACTAAGTGGATGTTTTATTAATTTGATGTCACATTTTAGTAACTTTCTAAAGGATACTATTTATCGGTGTTAGATATGTGTGCAGCCCGCCTTCAGAATGTTGATTAGGACAGCATCCCTACTCGACTGTTTTTATTTCCTGAAAAACAGTGTAAAACTTGCATGAATTTAATTTTCCCAGAGAGCATTACTGCCCTGGAAACAGGCTGAAGGAACTTTGGAAAAGGTGGAGTCTTTTCCCCACTCCTGAGTTAGAGGCAAATACTTCAACCACATAATTAAAGTTTTCTTCACAAAATAGGGGATTGTGAGCAGACACTGGCAGGAATCCAAAATTCTAATTTCTGACTATGATTTAATTTCAATTTTAAATAAATCGGTTTTTAATTTAAAAAGAGTGAGCTTCATAACATTAGCAATGATTGCAACATTAAGCCCAGTGTTCACAATCTAGCAATATAAAACATTATTTATATCTGAATCGTAAACAGCCTTTTGAAATGGATTATGGTTTTTCTCCCTATTCTAATACAACCTGGAGGGTACTAAAAAGTGTTGTGTGAAATTAACATTCTGCTGACTTTCGCCTATAAATGAGAAGCGAGCTATTAACATTTGTGTATTTTCATTATGTAAATTGTGTTAACACATGCCCACAAATTGCCACCAGCAATGCAATAATTTTCTCTCAGTGATCATAATGTGTCCAAGTGAGTCATTTTGATTATGACATGCTAATTACATATTGCCTTTTTTCAGATTCAGAAAAACCAGGGATCTTTAATGGTAAGCTTTATGAGTTCAGAAAAAAATTCACTTTTCTTTTTCCTGATGGCTGCTTCCTTTGCATGCTTGAATGCCTTGTTTTAAACTTAGCAAATTGCATTTTGAAGAAAATGCAAACCTTTAACTGCCTGTATTAGATTAGGTACCATTAGAAATAATAGAACATCCTGAGCATCAATGTTTTTATAAGAGTTTGCTGTTGTTGATTAATCTTGCTATATTTTATTGCATTAATGATTTTTTCTTTCCACTCCACTGTAAAGATATTGCAGAGAGGCTAATACTTTTTCCTCTCTTCTTTCCCATTGCAGCCTCTCCAGCTTCTGCAGTGCATTGTTGATGAGGTGAGGCATCGTCTTATGTGCTTTCACTCCTAAAGTCATTCCTAATGGTGTGGAAAGCTTATATTTTGTTTCCTAATGAAGCACAATGCCCAACATCCTCGGAGCAAGTTGTGTTGTATGGCTCTGCGCTGTGTGTTACGTGAACTCGCCCTGTCCTGAATCCTGCTCTTCAACTCTGGCCCAGAATCCATGCCAAAACAGACTGTCCCACAGGCTGCTCCCCAGAGGTATCAGAGGCCCTAAAGATAAAACATGATAATATTCATTCATCCCCTCCCTGACCAGATGGGGATGGAGCTGGAAAGGAAAGTGGCATCATTTTTCCATAACTGATATTTAAAGTCATTCAATAGGCAGGGGTCAGAGTTGAACAGCAAACATAAGCTGGGCAAAATTTGTCTTCCTTGCTTTGTTTACCCAAAGCATACCAGGGTGATAAAGATGTTCAAAAGCTGTAGGTCAACAGCTTTAATTTCCTAAGGTGGTATTTTCCCCAGAATATACTCCTAACTTCTTGTGCTTTTAAAACTAGAATTCTCACATTTTAAGTCATCCAACCTCTGATCATTCTTATCCTATCAAGTTCCACTATCCCTTTGCCTTTACGAGGTTAATATATTTCTTTCTCAACCAACTTTTTGTGTTCTTATTCTAACTTTAAATTCCTTTATTCTATAAATTAACGGCTTTATAGTAAACATGACTCAATTAAGAAAATTAACATTTTTTAAAAACTGAGTTGTTCTGGTCTCTGGCTTGCCTACCAGCAGTGTTTGTTTTTTAAACTTTAATTTTACAATATTTAAAACACTTGTAATGAAGGCGATAAATGATTCAGATAGGAAAGTTTATTTGAAAGAAATAAAAACAAATCGTAATTCATAATTATTCCTCTCAATTAAACATCTGTATAACCAGTTATGAGATTTGGGAGAAAAAATAAAGATCCTCCTAGGAAAAAAACAAACGCTCACATGTCACAATAATAGTAAGAATGGGGCCCTAACATCCTTAATGGTTGCATCAGTCAGTCCATATATCCCCTGCAAGCCATAAACCATGTTAGTGCAAAAATGAAGGCATCCTCCTGAAACAAATGGAGGCCCCATTATCTCAAATATCAGACAGGCCTCCTGTATCTAATAGCTCATCAATATCTTCTGTCATCTTAGATTCCAAAAAAACATCCTATCCCCATCAGAATCCTCCCAATTAAGTTGATTTTCCTGAGGTTCCCCCTCCAGGATGGCTTAGGGAGTACCCAGGGAAACTTGGCCTTCCTAGTCAAATGTGTAGCCAGTGGGTTTCCTGAGCTCTGGCGTTCTTGGTCTGCCGGGCTCCAGGGCATCAGAACGTTCAGGTACAGATATTCTGCACCAGTAACATATGTATAGCTATAAAGCTAATTCAGAGGTTTTCTGGATCACATAGGTACTTTCATTTGTTATTTAAAGCAGCAGTGATTACTATTGAATTTAAAATACTTTACTTGTTTGAGACTTTTGAAATTATCATAGGGAAGTGTTCTAAGATGAAGGACAATAGCATACAACTTCAATGGTATTTTTTTTTTTTAGATTTATTTATTTATTTATTTATTTATTTATATACAAGCACTGGGTACAGTCAGAAGCATGGGAGGGTGAGAGAATTCACCAGGGCCAGAGCAGGGAGCAGAGCAGGCAGAAGGACTGAAGTACACTGCTGAGGGGAGCAGCGGGCGGCAGGAGAGGTCTGCACGCCATGTGGGATCCTTCTCCGGTGGCCGGGGAGCAGCCAGGGATCGAACCGGCGCTGCAGAAGCTGCTGGCAGCTTTGCAACCCAGCGCTAAACCGCTGCGCCACCAGGAAGGCCCAATGGTATATTGTTCTTTATAGCATTTCTTCCTCAGTCAAGAAAAAATTACTTAGATATTTATTCCCACTTACTCTAAAAACATTAAAATATCGTCTTTATGGAAACATGGGAAATTGACTTTGCTTTACTAAAGCAAACATTAGTTGATCTTGGACTAATTAATGTTCAGTAATAAGAATATTAAGAAAGAATTGACTGGATGATCTGTCTTTAGCAAGGTGCAACAAGGCTTCTAAGAAGAAACGATTGAGGGGGTGCTGTAGTTACTGTGCTATCCCAAGTTTGTCAGCTTGTCTCATTGCTGTGATGCAGTGTTTCTCAAGAGTGAGCCATGGACTAACTACATCAGAATTACCTAAAGCTCTTGTTAAAAATGCAGATTCTTGGTCCGAGATCACCAAATTAGATTTTCTAGGAATGGAGCCCAAGAATCTACCTTTTGCTAGCTTTGCAGGTAATTCTTTGACATTTAAGTTTGAGAAACACTTCTATAATGACTTTATAGGGCTAAGTCTCTCCTTTTAGATTCCAGAAGGCAATTAACTATCTATCTTCATTTGCATCTGACTTTGAGGGCCTCTATTCCTTAGTGAATATAACCAGCCAGTATTTGAGCCATTTTACTCCTTCAGCATGGGACTTACTCCTTCAGCGTGGGACATACCCCACTGTGAAATGGTAGCATGTACTGTTTCTGTTAGAGAAAAGCCAGATCAGAAAGTGCCACCCCTAAGGGAAAGCTAGTTCAAACAAGATGGATTATTTGGAATCATGAGAATCATGAGCAAGGCAAGAGTGTAACATCCTTCATTATTACATGAATGCAATTTGACCTCCTGGCATGGCCTGGCAAAGAGTGAAGAAGTAGTAAAACAAGACCAGTTGGGCAGGAGCCAGTTCTAGAGTGGCAAGAGGTAAATGACAGAGCTAGTCAGGGAATCAGGAGGAGGAATCATGGGACAAAGCCAGAGTCAGCCACCAGATGTCCAAATAGAAGACGCCAGAAGTTAAACAGAGGAGTAAGAGTCAGAACATGAAACTTGGACCACACATCAGGAACTGAGAGGATAGCCAAAGTAATAGGAGAATCTAGCTCTAATCAGAAATCTGGGTGATTTTGCTTAATTTTGGGTTGAGTTTATCTGGCTTGGATCTAGCTCACTCAGGATATACATGAGTAATGTCTTAAAGACACCATATAATGCCTCAAAGTTGCTTCTTTCAAAAAAAATTGTTACTTTAAAGCCCTCATAGAATCACATCCTCTCCAAGTCTTTGCATATCTATGTTGTAAAGTATTTTGTTCACTGTCTATTTGCGTGATGCTTTAGCCATGTGATATCTTTGGAGGAATAAGGTGGCCCCTGTTATCTCGATAATGAAGATTTACTACTCTAAGCTCTGACATCAATGAAAAAATTTGCATTTTTGAGGAAAAAAAAAAGCTTCTGAAATGTGTTTACTCTTAGAAGCCTGTGTAGCAAATATCACTTAACTTTTTCTTGATGATGCAAGTCCTTGCTTTGAGCATGTCACTGAACTAAACTATGATGTATTGATGCTCGCTAGGACTATAAAATTGTGTGGGGCTTACCTTTTTCTTTCACTGAATTTTATCAACCCTTTGCCTATACCTGGCCTTGGCACTCAGTGATATGCTTCGATCTCTTGAAGTATATAGAACCCATTTGCCTGCATGCTAAATAGTTTTACGTGTCTACTTGGTGCTTTCTTGTGTTCTCTCTTGGGATCACCTCTGTTTTTTACAGTCATTCCTCATCCTTGTCTGTGACGACCTACTTCCCCAATGATCTCACCACCTGTCTTCAGTAAAACAAAAAGGTGCCAAATGAAATCAGATGCCCAAGTGCATGGTCCAACAGGCTCATCTGAGAAGTGAGATAGGAGCTTGAAGTCCTCATCAACAAAGTAAAGTGGGTGAACTTGTGCTTATTCATTCACAAAAAATAGTAAGCACAATCACCCACTATATGTATGCTAACCAAATGGAGCAGACCATAATCAGGTCACCCTGCAAGCCAAGACAGAACAGGGCTTTTAGGCAAGCACCCAGGTCAACTGCCAGTGAGATCTGTGAGTCAGAATAGGAAGGCAGAAGCATAGCCCCACACCACAAACCAACATAATGTGCAAGGACTCAGGAGACTACATAGCCATCGAACTCTCGAGTGCCTGGACTCCCAGATTGACTGGCAACAAAGGACTCGCTAGGCTGGTGTTATGACAGTTGGGAATTCAGCTGTGATGGTTCAACAAATCCCAGCTTGACTGAACCAGTCAGTCCATCAGTGGATTGAGGTGCTAGAAATTGCAAAGTCTGAAGTGGGGATCTCATCGTGAGCCTTTCCCCATGTAGCACACAGCCTGGAAAAAGATATGAAAATGAATAATTATGATTCAATGTAAAGTGTATAGTATAGAGTCCAAAGCCAGGAGGACTTGGTCTAAATGTGGATTAGGAGAGGCCCCTCGGGGATTGTGACACTTAAGGTAGGTCTTAAAGGATACATAGGAATTTTCCATGTCAAGAAAGGAAAAAGTAAATGTCAGGCAGAAGGGCCAGAAGCTTTTTTGTGAATCATTTTTGAATTCACAGATGTATTTCAGAATGTTCAGGTTGTCTAAAATATGACAACCAGAAAAATGGATTATTACTCTGAGTGTGTGTGTGTGTCAGGCGTATTATAGCTAAAAATAAATTCCTATCTAACATCTGTAAGTGCTCAGCAGGACAGTTAGCAAATCCCTGATTTATATTTGTTTATTCATTTTACTAATAAAAAGTGAATTTGTCTTGTTTTATACCTGATTAGAAGTGTCTTCTATATTGATTTTTTAGTAAGAACTACAAGATAAAATACAAAAATGTTTCTAAAGAATAAGCACAAACTTTTAGTGGTCAGTTGTAGAAACAAACAGTAGACTCGATTGTTTGTGATAGTAGTGGAATAATTCTGAGATATACTAATTATTCTTCCCTATTGTGGATAGAAAGGAAAAAGAATTTGATCTTAGTAATGGCATGGCATACCCATGTAGTTATATGGATCTGAAGGACAATTTATCTCTTCTGATTATTCTAAAGGGACTTCCTGAGGAAGATGGGCACAGAGCAGTGCTT